TCTTATCTTACACATTCATTGCCTACACTGTTATTTGGAGATTAAAAAAACAGAAGCAAAGTCAGAATAAGTCATACTCGACAGCAATATACAGCCACTATGTCCTTATATGGCAACAGTTGCTGCCAACTGCAGAGACAAACTTAGAAAGCAGAATTGGCTGCTGTACTGATGAGAAATAAATGACTATTTTATGACTACTGATTATAAACTGTCACCAAACAACACTCTTGAAGGTGTGGGAAGGTTCTTTAATTGGGCACATATTTCACTCACTTAATTTAGTTTACTTGTTACAGGAAAACTTTTAAAACAGTTGGAGCTGTCAAGTCCGAGAAAATAACTCCTGAGCTTGTTATCAATGTTATTTCAGCTCGAAAATTTATAACAGAAAACCTATGTGACAAGCAGGCCTTCTGGAGAGTTAAAGACATGAATGTTTACCAGGCAGGAAGGATCTAACGACTTGATATTGATCAAATTATGTACTGCAAGTCAAGATATCTTACTGTGTGGTGCTTTCACTCGTAGGCAGCAGAACAAGCTGTAAATGCAGCATAAAAATCCCTTTTTGCAGTTGTTTGTACAAACGTTAGTAACAGCTGCCTTTTTACACCTCCAGCAGACATAAAGCATCATTAACATTCATTTCAACTCGTGTTTCTGTCCACCTCACAAATACAAGTCCAGTGTTCACTCTCTTTTTTTTGCAAAAAACAAACACAAAACAATTACCTAAAATAGGCTAAATCCTTTGTAGAGTTGAAGGGAATCTGCAGAGTTGGGGGATAAATCTATGTAGGTTTATCACTACTACTCATTAGATTTATTGTGAATATAATAATTTTGATAAGTGCAGCTTTTATCTGTTTCTCTATGAGTCCAACGACTAAATGGAAGAAAATTGCCAAAGTGACCACTAAAATGTCAGTCCCTCCATGATTTTCTGGGCTTTTTTAGGGATTGTTGGGGCCTAAAATGCCTGATTTCATGGCAGCTTTTCAGAAAAATTGCTATGCATGTTACGATGTTTTTAGGCATTTCGTTGTAATGTAATTGCAGGAGAAAGTGAAGTTTTATGTATAGTTTTTTTTTTGTATAGCCTAATTTGTTAAAAATCAAAGGCAGTGAAAATATAATGGTGATTTTGGTGATGAACGTTTTGCACGAGGGACTGTTATGTTATGTCATATATGTGGAAAAGTTGCTGTGATTGGACAAAATTGCAAGATCGCGCAGAATTCAGAGAGATTGGTTGAATTTGCCGTAATTGTTGCGACTGCAACATCGCAGCTTCGTGGAGGGGCTGATTGGTTAAATATAGTCTCAAATTTCCAGGTATCAATTGAGAATTCGACGCAATAACAGAGAATACCATACATAGCATGTGTTTACTGTGAGCTGTCATCTACCTTTACACACGTACTCTATTGTATACATTACAAATTCCTTAGATGCTCACTGTAAATAGCTTTCACTGGAGGGGGAAGGTTGTTATTGGGCAAAGAGGGTCTACCACTTGGCTTTAACATGACCTAATGATTGACTCGGTCTGCAAATAAATATTGTCTGTCAGACTGTATGAACCAAGATAATTTCCTTCACTTAAAGGGATTCACTGGGCCTGGGATACACAGTTTGTCTTCATTACCTCTGTGCCAATAAAGCAGCTCAGAAAAGCTACAATGATTGGAGAATATAAATGTTTTTAAGTATTGTGTTCAGAGAAAGTATTCGTGAAATTGACTTAAGATGCCTTTTATTCATTAGGGACCCTGAGAGCCTTGTATCTTGTACGCTCCTAATGCTCTCTTCCTGTCTGCTTGTATACAGACATTTAAAGGAGGGGGGACAGAAGAAAAACACATTAGAATAGACTTGCATGGTTAATAGAGGAATATAGTATGTCAGGATGAAAGACAGGGAGGGCGAAGGAAGGGGAGGAAACAGTATAGAGGTCAAAAATGAAAACATGGAGTGCCATTTTTACACTCTCTATGCATTGTTACCATGGGGAAAGATCACATGAGTGGGCTGAGGTGTGTAAGAGGATGAGGAAAGGGGGAGATGGGCGGGGATGGGTATGTTGTATAGTGAGGAAATACATGGAAACTAATCAGAGTCTTCCTGAGTCTCAGTCAGATATCTGCAGGGCTGAAGACAGGAAAGACTCCGGTAAACGGTCTCATTCTGTGGGAGTTCCTGAGATCCTGTCTGATACAGATGTGACTTTTTGTGTACATTCAAAGTGTGCATGTGTTGTTGTTGGCATACGTGTAACCTCACATTTTTCTTAGGCTACATAACGTGTGCCTGTGAGTTCATAATGGGGAAGGCTACAACAGGATATACTGTATGTATAGTAAATAACTCATTCTACATCTTCATGTTTGTAGTTCTTTGTATAAAGACATCCATAATATTTACACACAGATATGGAGAAGGATAACTGTGCTTCTCCTGCTCAGTGATTGAGGAAATGGATACATGCATGCAGGTGTGGATGTGACAAAGACACGTTGTCTTGTGGGTTGGATAGTCTGACTTTGCACAGAACCATAATGACAGAAAATTGCAAAGTAAAGGCCCAAGATACATAAAATCAGGCTGAAAAGTAAATTAAAAGAAAGAAAAAGTGATTGCTATGGTGTTAGAGCAGATGTTTACACCAGTGGGTTTCTAGATGATTAACTGTGGCTGAAAGGGAGTCTCGTGGCAAGAAAAAAAGTCAGCATACTGTTCTTTTTTATTCATGTTTTATGAGACTGTCCTCCCAAGAAGAATGACAGAAAGAGCAGATTCAGCAAGTTCCCCAAAACAACATACGCTTACGTTGGAGTGACAAAGCCCTCTAGTGGATTAAATAAGGTTTCATTGTTATAGAGCAACAATGGGACGATGGGTAAGTCAACAAAACATCAAACTTTAACACAGGAGACTGCTTTCTGTTTATTGTTGGAATTTTTTTAAAGCGTGACCACGATTGTTACATAACCGTAACCACGCGTTTATTAACCGTGAGGCAAAAGTCCCCGAAACAAAATAGTAACTTTATCGCAAAGCACCATCTTTCCCTAAACGTAACCAAGTTGTTTCTGCCTAAACCTAACCAAACCTTCACCATAAAAATGTCACATCATAAATTGATTTTATTTTTTTCAGTATTTTTAAAAGAGTTAAGAGTTAAGTTCTTTTGAAATGGTCAAATATTGATTGGTTGTTAGGTTGTCAGTATGTGCGAGGTAAATACTGGTGGATGCTAGGTGGTTACGATGTGGTTTCTTAGTTTCCTAGCTGTGTTTCCTTCAGGCAGCTTTGATCTGCCATAAACCTTCCATAAGAGGTTTTGCTCTACTTCTTAGACCAAACTAGTGCAAAATTGCTAAACAACAGATAATTTTATAGATCTATTACAGGATGAGGAAAATACTGTCTAGGGAATCATTTTGAGTGAACCTACTTTCTCTGAATAGGTGAGGCACTGTTTCGTGTATTATAGTGTAACGTTGCACTGGTTGGTTGTAATAAAGGAGCTCCCCCACCCTTCCTCTAATAATCCTCTGATAATCTTACTGGGATTTTTGTGAGTCCTCTCCAGCTGTGGGTCCCTGTAATTGGCTCCACTTTTCAGACTATTTGTAACCCTGCACTTTTTTTTATTAGAATATAAGTCACCAGGGGTCTGAATAGTTTGTACATTCCAGTACAGGAACTGAGCTACTGGCCAAAGACTAGCAGCTGAACAAATGCATCACTCGCATTTCTTTAATCCTAAAAATCTGATTTTGATATTTGTTTTGGTGTCAGGTAAAAAAGCCAGTGATTGAATTAACAACAGCATTTTAGAAGTTATGGGTTGGTTGCAACTGTTGTAAACTGTGAGCCAAACACCACTGAAATCTGCTTTTTATTGTTCTGACATCCTACAACAGCTGCAAGATGCTTGAACAATCATGAGAAAAAGCCAGATCAGATAATGCTATTATATGCTGTATTTGGTTAAAACATGAAATAGAAATAGAAATTAAAAATGAAACATTTACTCTTTATTGTAAAAAGTCTTAGTTTGGCTTATTGATGACTTCTTGAATAAGCTCAAAAAACATTATAAGGTGAATATAACACATTGTAATATATATCTTCATGTATATCAACATTATAAAAGAGTTGTGAATGACATACTGTGCAATAAACTATTTTGATTAGGTTATTTAACTGATGTGTTTCAGGTGCTACTAACACAGATGTAAACATTCAAACTTCTTTTTAATACAGTACAGGGGCCCCAACTTTCAACACAAAACCACAGCTGGTAAATGAGTGTGGGGCCCTGGGAAATTACTTACTTACAAGGGGAAAGTTGAGTGCCAAAGAGGCATGACAGCAATTTTACTAAATCTTATCAAAGAGCAAAACCAACAATGCTTAAATTTACCCTGAAAATCTGCTTCGTTTCATCCCCCCCAGTTTGTTCACACCCTCTCGCACTCTCCTCGAGTTTGAATTGTATTCAATTTAAATAGTTAGGATTACAAACGAGTGTTTATTATTGTAGGAAAACTTTTTTTATTCCACATAACAAATGCCAAAATATCAGTTTCACACACTGAATCCCTCATAACTTGGCAGGATGTGATGCACTTTTACCCAATAACATTATCTGACACAGTTATGATGCCATTATAATGCGCCTTTAATGCTATTACAATATAGTTTACACTGGGTTATTAAGAACAATTGAAGCGAGGGATCAGCTTTCACAGACTGAATCCTTTATGTTAAAATTAGACTATTCTGGTCTAATTGTTTAATGTCTGACAGTTGTGTTCCCGTCTCCAGACACCACTGCTGTTATTTGACTGCTAAGATTTTCCCATGGCAGACCAAGCCCCCGCAGACGTAATATGTGTGTCTGCATGACTCCTTACAATGATTACGCCTTCCTCCTCTACATTCTCCTCCTCCTCCTCCTCCTCCTCCTCCTCACTGTTTCTGTATGTCCCAGAGCCGACACGCAATGGAACAGAGCTCATCCCGAGTGGTGGAGTTGGTTTGAAGCTTGACCTTTCAGACAGTTAAACTCTGGATGCTGCAGCACAGGAAATGCCTTGTGGGCTCTTGTTAGACATTTAGCGATTTGACTTCTCTGGGGGGAATCTCTGTTTATCTCAACACCGAGCGCGAAAGGGGGAAAAAGGTCCGTGGAATAAAGCTCAAGCCAAACAACATCTACAGGATGCTCGGGATCACTCAGCATTTAACTTTCACAGCAGTGGCGGTTGCTGGTGAGTAACAACTTGTAAGAAATTATGCATTTTGTGCTGATTATCAGCTGAGATAATGAGCGCCTTTTCTGACGCGTCAAGCTCTCCAGCGCATCTTTTTGCGCACACGCTGACTGGACAGCAGCTTAGATCATCGCAGTCTGCATAATTGACGACTGAGCGACTAAAAGCATCCATTAAGTGTGTCACTCACGTTGCCTGCACACCCATTAAAAGGTGGTGGCACCACAGTGTCCTCGTAAACTGCCCCTAAATACTTTCCGTCCGTATTGCCCAGATGTTATTTATTCTGACTGAGGGAAACCGCCGAGCACTTAATTGTTTCTACGTGCACAGCTTGGTCTTAGAAGCATGGGATTGCCTCTTGTAATAGAAACATTACAGTCAGTCAAATTACTGTATGCTGCTCTAATTGAACGTTGCGCATGACAGTGTTTAAACGCGCCAGCGTCAAAACGCCCTGGAAATGTAGGTTGTGTTGCTTCTGAGCAAACATTTCTGCAGTGTCATGCAATCTATTTATGTTTTTTGCTGAATCTGATGTGTGATATTTTGCAAAGCATGCATCAGTGTGAAATTATGTCATCTTATATGACAAAACAAAACCCCTGAATGAAACTTTGGATGAATAAGGAGTGGGGGATTTTAATTAGATTTTAATTTCTAGAAGGTAAAAAAGTGAAATGAATATTGTATTTACTCCAGCCTTAAGAGCCAGTGAGGGCGATGTATTTGTAATGGATATCAGTGTTGGTATTGTGGAGTCCCATTGGTGAAGCTGTGCTCTCAGGTTCAGCTCCAGAGCACCAGAAGTGAATTAACTTCTAGGTCATGTCCAAGTGGTTCAAACATGATGGAAAGTACCAGCAAAGTTGAGTGAACCGCCCCTCTAAGTTTGGAGGAGAGAAAAAAAGAAGAAGAAGAAGAAGAAGAAGGAGAAGAAATAGAGCAAAGGAAACAGTGAAAGTCTCTCTTTAATTCTTACATGTGATACTGGCTTGTGATGGTCATTAGAGAATTGAGTTAGACATGGAGATAAATGTGTGTGTGTGTGTGTGTGTGTGTGTGTGTGTGTGTGTGTGTGTGTGTGTGTGTGTGTGTGTGTGTGTGTGTGTGTGTGTGTGTGTGGGTGGGTGTGGGAAGGGATCCGCAGAGGCTCACAAAGCAAATCATCAAGAAGTCAGGTTTACTTACTTGATCCACACATCCCCCCCCCACACACACACACTTACCACCTCCAATTGGATTACTGCAGGTCATGCAACAATGACTTTGGCTTTGCCTGTGCAAGCTGTTTGTTTGTGAACCAGCCTGGAATCACAACTAGTTAGTGTTCTGTTGTTGTCTCATGTCCCATCCTGAACACTACTGGTGCTGCTGGAGTATGACCTCAACTGGGTTACACAGGGGGAGTAGCTCTCTGGTTTTAGACCATACTGGGAGATCCCGTGTTGTGCTATGGGAGCTGCCTCTGCCTGCCTCAGAGGCCCACATGTGGTTATTGTAGTGGCAGCATTTAATCTCTGTAAATTCCTAACGGAGATGGGGCTACAGGTGGTTTGAGTTTGGTCCTGCAACGGAGAGGGGCATCTGGCTTCAATCAGTATGTGTCAGACCGGAGTGACCAAGCCTACTAAGGACGTGAACAGCATGAACAACTATACTTTAAACTGGGGCTGCAACTTATGATTGTTATTTTCATTATCAATGAATCTGTTTTTATTATTATGTTTTTAATTAATTGATTAATTAGTCTATAACATTTCAAGAAAAGAATGTAGAAGAATGCCCATCACAGCTCCCAACGGACCAAGGTGCAGCGCTGTAGAACTCGAGTCTGCTATCTTTCTATCGTCTTGGACTTGCTGGTATTTGCACTGTGACTTGTCTTGGACTTGGCCATTGTCCTCGCCAAATATTCTAGTTGGTCCAAACCAGCATGTGTGTTTTGTTTTTTTCTGAAGTAACTGCTTCATCAATGGTTTTAACATTAGTTAGAAACCATTGATGGAATATGTTTGTTTGGAAAATGGGTATTGGTTTAATTCACAATCCATCTGAACAGGCATTGACATCGGTTACTAATCAATGTCATTTGCAATTGTACACCTGGCTGCCAAAACTCATCTAATTGGCAATGGCAAAAGCTTTTCTTTTTTGTCTTAGTCTTGACTCTGTCTCTCTCATTTGGACTCAAACTTTGACTTGGACTCGAACCTCTTTGGTCTCGGTCTTGACTCATCCCGTCTGGTCCTAGACTTGGATTCTCTTGGACTATACGAAAGCAGTCTTGACTACAGCACTGCCAAGATATCTTCAAATTGCTCATTTTATCAGACAAATAGTCCAAAACCCCCCCAAATATTTAACGATATAAAACAGGAAAAAGGCAGCAAATCCTCATATTTGATAAGCAGGAGCCAGCAAATTGTTTTGTTTTGCTCGATAAACGACTTAATTAATGGATTATTGTACATTGATGTGATGTTCTTGGCTGATCCATTGCTAATTTGGTCTATGAAATATAGTAATATATTCAAAATACAGTTCCTATAGCCCACAAAGATGTTATTAAGTTGCTTTTGTATCCAAGTTACAGCACAGAATTCATAGATACTAAGTTTACTGACATAAGACCAAAAAAGGTAACAACTTCTCACAATTTAGAAACTGGAACTCGATCATGTTTGTTATTTCTGCTTGAAAGATGACTTTAACGGGTTTTGCCTTATTAGTCAACTAATCATTTCCACCCTGCTTGAGACTTCTGTGCCTCTCCTCTCCCCTCCTCTTTGTTGTTCTTGTGAGTGATACATGCCAAAGCTGTTTATGTCCTGAATGCAGCACATCACAGAGACCACACACGCATGACGTGTTTGTTTGTCAGATGTGAGAAACCGCTATAGGACGTTTTGGAGTTCATATGGTTCTTTGACATTAGAAGTTGCCTGTTCAGCTGGCTTGTCACACAGCCAGAATATAATCTTAATGTTCCTCTTACTTGGGAATGTATTTAACGTCTGTGCGCTGCAAAGATGGAGAGAAGGGGTGAAAGGTTAATCGAACACAAACTGATTTAGATTCTTCCACATTCCTTCTGTGGCTTTTTCCCCCTGAAGTTTCTCACATCTCAGATTTGGAAATGTGTCTTTTTTCTCTACATTTTAAAAAGCTGCAGTAGACGACCAAAGTGGATGGTTAATTCACTGAAAGCTGTAAGGTCAGGGGATATAAGTCTTCAGACATTACAGCTCCGAATTGAATTTATGAGCCTGAGTAGTGAACCCAGCCATCTCCATCTTCAGCAATATGTCGCCTCCTCCGCCTCCTCCTGCTCCTCCTCCTCCTCCTCTACTATCTCTACTATCTCTCATTTGAATCAGCTCACTCCCTGGGTTGCAGCAATCAGCACTAATTTGACATAAACTGTCTGCTGGCAGAGGCAGACAAATTCCCTGGAATGTTAAATAATTAAGATCTGATTATGTTAGTTTACTCAGCATCTTTGATGGGTTCACTTTTGGTATCCTTTAGTTTAATCAGTTAAGTGTAACTATTGTCTGAAGTTATGCTATTGCCACTAAACACTTTGAAGGTGTCAAGGCGTATGTTGGCTGCATTATGAAACCAGTCCAGAAACCATGTCAGTGAGAAGACTGACAGAGACTGACAGACTGCAATCACATGAATTTGGACTGAAATATCTCAACATCTACTGGGTGAATTGCCATTAAATGTTGTACAGACATTCGTGATCCACAGAGGATACTGACATTGGCGAGCATGTCAGCATGCCGTGCCTCATTACAGCTTTATAGAGCAGCTAGCATGGTTGTAGACTTAGAGTGGGGATTCAGACCGAAATAAGTTCTGTGTTAAAGCAGTGCAGGAAGCTGCGTTGGTCAGGGTGTGTTGTTTAAGGTACTGGTGAGACATGAAATATGATCCAGGAAGTTCAGTTTGAGGAGCATATTAATTTATTGCTTATTTATTTTTGCCGATTATGTCAGAGAAGAAGGATCACCTTGCATGTCTCAGTTCCAAATTATAAGTCTCACTTTATAGATGTCATAATGAACCTGGAGAATTGTTTTTCACCACCTGTGTTCAGCTTTTGGCATTTATGGAGATTTCTCTCTTTTTTTAAAACAGAGAGTGCCTTTACATTAGTGGAAGTTTCTGTTTGAGCATTTGTGCACACGGAGATAGCACAGAAAAAGAAAACACAGCAATTATTTAAAGAGAGCAACATCAGTCACCACAAAATTTGAAATCTTCAGACGCTTGGAGATGAACAAGTCCAGTGCATCTTGTTGTGTGTGGGCTCTGTCACATGCTGACTTTCAGTTAGTCCACAGGAAACTATGGAATATGGCGTTAATGTTACAAAGTAATCCACCAGGAACATTCACTTTCATGTGACGGCCAACGCAGTGCCTTGCTGGATGTGCTGTAGTAAAAATTTAGTCAATGGACAGCTGGACAACCCTGCATTGTTTGCTGGACCACCACCCTGCGTTGGCACTCCCATTGTACTGCCATTTTTGTCTTGTTGATCCCAGTATCGACTTCTCTCCTTATTGTTTTTATGTATGCAGGCTTGTAACAGCATTTGAACTGATAACTGAAGCAAGACATGTGTCATACCCATCCAAGTCGCTTCACATTTGATGTACAGAAAATGAACAAGACTTTGACGCCCAGAATCCATTTATTACATTCAGTAAATAAGGTGGTAGATAGAGTATTTTCAAAAAATAAAGTTGCAAAGTCAAGTCTCACTTGCAGGACAGCAGCACCCTGCCCAGTTAAAGAAATCCTTTTAGAGGTTAACAAATGTGTCTGTCAAGTGGATCATTCACTGATGATGCAGATAGCATGTCATGGACGTTTTTGCCGTTCTGGTTAGTGCTATATCTGATGTGGTAGAGGTGCCATTTTTCACACTTCCTACAAAAAATATCTCTACCAACTAACACTTACGTGATGGTTTACTGTGT